CGCCATAATTTATTACAACCTTCAGAGAAAATTATCGCAACAAGAATGCCTTTCTGAGTTACTATCTGTTTTCGGCAACGAAGCGCCACATCAGTCGACAATTTCCTGTTGGTATGGCAAATTCAGTCGTGGACGGGTGAGTGTTAGCGACGATCCCAGGGTGGGTGCACCAAAAACGGCAGTCACCCAGGAGAACGTCGATGCTGTGCGCAAACTCATCATTGAAGATAGACTTGTGACGTATCGCGAGATTGAGGCGTCCTTGAAGATCTCAAAGACCTCAATTCAAAAAATGTTACATGAAGAATTTGGAGTAAGAAAATTAGTTTCTCGTTATTGACTGAAGTGCAGAAAGCAGCCAGAGTTAATTGGTGTCAAAAAACGCTTGACCATTTCAATTCCGAAATCTCAAAAAATGTGTACAGCATAGTTAGTGGTGATGAATCGTGGATTTACTGTTATGAACCAGAAAATAAACGACAGTCGGCTATTTGGGTGTTCCAAGGTGAAGAAAAGCCAACAAAAGTCAACCGTTCTCGAAGTGTTTCGAAAAAGATGGTCGCGACATTTGTGTCAACAGCGGATCATATTGCAACAATTCCTCTTAATGAGCAAAGAACTGTTACTGCGGATTAGTATACCACCATTTGTTTGCCAAAAGTCATCACCGAGCTTCGAAAAATCAACCCCGACACAAGCATCATCCTCCAACCAAGACAATGCAAGCTCGCACACAGCTCAAAAAACAAGGCAGTATTTAACAGAAGAGAACGTGGAATTATTGGATCATCCTCCATATAGTCCCGATCTAAGTCCTAATGATTTCTTTACTTTCCCGAAAATTAAAAACAGACTGCGTGGTTAAAGGTTCCAGTCACCAGAAGAAGCAGTTGACGCATTCAAAAATGCCGTTTTGGATCTGCCAGCAAACGAGTGGAATAAGTGCTTCGAAAATTGGTTCGAGCGCATGCAGATGTGTATTAATCTTCATGAAGAATACTTCGAAAAACAATAAAGTCATTTAAAACTACCTACCGTGTTGTTTTATCTTCATATGCAAAACTTAAAAGACATCCCTTTAATTATTTAAACACAAATAGTATCCTCCCTTCCACGCAGTCGGGATTTCGAGCAGGTTTCAGCTGTGCAACTGCACTGCTTCATATAACAGACGATATAATATAGTCGTTAGTCCAGGACCAGTCAATTGTCCTTGTGCTGTTAGATTTTAGAAAGGCTTTTGACACAATAGATCATGTAACTCTTTTAGCTATCTTAAAATCCTGCGGAGCCTTTGCAGCTTTTCAAATTGTACCTGGAAAACCGTAGTCAAACAGTCAAGCTTGGTTCTCGAAAATCTGTATCCATGACAATCAAATCGGGTATGCCGCAAGGTTCTGTGTTGGGACCATTGCTTTTCAGATTGTACACTAGTCAGTTTACCAAGTTTAAGAAAACTAGCTCAGCACATAATGTATGCGGATGACACACGGGTATATCGTTCTTTCTCGATGACTGACTGGAAAATGGTGTACAACCAAATTAATCAAGATCTTGCTACTCTGGTAGATATTTCTGCAAGACATTCACACCTTCTCAATCCTAACAAGTCTGTGGCTAAGGTATTTGTTAAAAAATCTGCTCGCCAGTTTTTGGAATCAAACTTGAAATAAGATGTTGTAAGTAATACTGTCATTGAAATTAGAGGTAATGCAAAGAATCTGGGCTTACTCATTGATCAGGATCCAAGGTTCTGGGATCATATAACGAAATGCGTACAGAGAGCATACGCATCGCTAAAATTACAATATCCCCATAGATCATATTTATCAACAGACACTAAGAAAATATTGTGCGATACGCTAGTACTTTCACAATTTATATACTGTGGTCCATGTTTAGGTCAAAACAGTGTTAATCGTATTCAACGTGTACAGAACTCGTGCATTCGACTCATATACGGGATTAAAAAGTATGAGCACATTTCCCACAAATTGAAGGAGTTGAATTGGCTAAACATGGAGAAAAGATTGTGCTTATATGCTCTCTGCTTATTTCACAAGATACTGTATTATAAGAACCCCCCCTATCTCTACCAAAAGGTATCATTTCGCACAGATGTCCATAATCTTGACACGAGACTTAAGCACCTAATCAATATACCATCTCACAGGACAGTTCTTTTTGATAGAAGCTTCAATTTTAAAATTGCTAAATATTATAATTCTCTTCCTAATTATCTTAACTCATGCAATCCACATACATTTAAGAAACTAGTTTCGGATTAATCTATGACCAATTAAGTTATTACAACTTCCAAGTTTAATTCAGGTGACCCTATGTGTGTTTTTTGGTTAGTGTTAGGTTAGGATATTTTTCTTACATATATTCGACTACTGGCAAGGGTTGAGTTGGAAGAACACCTCTAGGTGAACTCCCCCTTGAGGTTTTCTCAACACCGTGATTGTGTTTCTCATGTGTGTGTGTGTAAAATGTACGTATATGATGGGAAAATAAAGAACATTATTATTACTATACATTTATGTTCTCTTGATGCGCATTATGAACTAGAGTTGCACTCAATACGAAAATATCCTACGCCCTGGAAGAACTCCTGCAAGAGTTGTCAACTGTCAACAGTGTCAAATTTCATGAAACTTTGAACCCAACCTTGATTTTGAAGCAAGCCTTCTCATGGATATATGTTGTCTTTTTCGGAAGTCGACGATAACTGAAATGAAATTTGTTTTGTTTAGGATTGACGGAACATATACAGCAAGAGGTGCGAGTTTAGTAAATTAGAAATGTCAACTTTGAAGCAGTGGAGGTGCTGCGCCTTACTGCTATTTGGGTACAAACTGCTCCATAATTCAACTGATTGTCCCCCAATGCTGCAACAGATCAAATTTCATATTCCAACATTTGCATGTCATTATCAAATGCTCTTTAGGTCTCCTAAGGCAGATTACAAATATTCTACTTAAGTCGCCATGTTGTGGCTAATTGCTTTCCTAAGACAGCTAATTCTTATACTGATGAATGATTATATTTATTCAAATCTGTGGAGATAAATTTTCATTTATTATCTATTTTATGTTAGCTTTATTCCGCTCTTTCAATATGTTTATACATTATTATTGTTATAAGCGCGGAAAAGGACAAGGAGTTCTTGATGCAGTTCAAAGAGGGCAATCCAACTGATCAGTGACTTCTTTACGCGTGATCCTAAGCAGCTTGGCGTTTGGTGTTCCTATATCGCTTACTTCAGAAATCACGTATTTAAAAAGTTCTACAATTACTTCACTTTTTGAATTCATGCCTCCAAGCAAGAAACCTATGCTTGATACATCCTTAGTTATCTATAAATTATAGATACATCCGGTACCTTGTGTTATTTATAACTAATAATTGAGTCGGTGAGCTAGCAAACTTTTTTCCGCGATTCCTGATGCTTCAGGATATACCATCCAGCTCGCACCGATGTTTGAGATGGATTTGTCATTGGACCACGAGTCATCTTGCAAATCTGAAAGACAAAACACACAGCTTCAAGTCCGATTTTTTCATCAGTGAACCGGACTTTGATCCGTGCTGTGAAACACGAACTGCTGTTCAAAGGATTATTCACAAGCATAGGTACCATCAATATCACCTATGCTTGCATCAAGGCCTTCGTCCTCAGGATTTCGCAGATCGAATGGAATTTAGTAGAATAATGCTAAATAAAGTGAGTGAAGACGCTACTTTCCTGGATAAGGTTCTTTTTAGCGATGAGGCATTTTTTAACAGTATAGGTGTTATCGACAGGCATAACATGCACTATTATGCGACGGAAAACCCTTACTGGATTAGGTAAATAGATTTCCAAAATAAATGGAGCTTGAATCTTTGGGGAGGAGTTGTTGACAGACAAGTTATCGGGCCTTTATTTTTCGACAACAGATTAACAGCTACAGAATACTTGATTTTTTTGATCGAGGATTTGCCTTTGCTTTTGGAGGATGTCAACCTGCAAACTCGGATGCATATGTACCCCCAACATCACGGCGCACCTGAGCATTGTCATAATCGTGAAAGTAACTATTTGGGCACCTGGAGTAACAAACGTTGGATCGGTCGTGATGGGCCTATATGTTGGCCTCCTAGATCACCAGATATGACACCGATGGACTTCTTTCTATGGGGCTACGTTAAGCAAGAGATTTGTAGATATCCACCATCTACCCCAGAAAATATGAAGAAAAGGATTAAAGATGTTTTTCTGAACATAAGGGACCACATGCTGAGGGATGTGCAACAGTCATTTATCCAAAGACTACGGCTGTGTTATTCAACATGGTGGAGATATTTTCGAGTAGCTTTTATAGATTAGGTCTTGAGTAGTGATAGCTGTTTGTTTATGTTGTTGTTATAGTTGTCTTTCTCTATTACGCTTGAAGCTGATTTATACTGTTCTGATTGCTAATAGTTCTTAAGCCTCTTAGTGGCAATATGGAACTAGCTCACTGTTTGTCTTTTGTTTCCATGGATGATGTGATTTTTTTTCTTAATTTTGTTGTTCTATTAGAAGCTTAACCCATTAACGCCCGCTGTACTCAAGCGAGTACACTCGTGTTTGTTCCTATCAGAGCCTTCTCTGAGTCAACCATATAAATACTACCTTTTATAAACATTTGTAGATGGCACATTATACAGGATGCAACAGCCATTTTTCATAAATTCTGTGAGTGTGACGTTGTTTGCAGTATTAGAAGTTATTGCTTATTTGATCTGAGGTAAGTTCGGCTTTTACATATTTTTTTCTCATTGAGGCAACCATCTAATAAACTAATTTTTTTTATATTATGTATATACAAAGGTTGCTTGTTTGATTTGCCGGGCATAAATTATTTTAACTGATTTGATGTAATTAGAATGTATGTTCAAGTTTGACTGTACTCAAATGAGTACACTGGGCAAGTTCGTCATTAGTCGAATGATATTTATTGTTTGTTTTAGATATGTATAAACCGTTTTTTGATGATCCTGTTAAAACATACGGGTATTATAATTTCCTAACTGATGCTCTAGATGATTTAAAAGATGACGATGATATTGTGGTCTTGCCTCCAGATGCGCATTATTTGACTGACGAGGAGGAATTGGACGAAAACCAACTGATGGCAAATAGAATGCCACAAGATGTTTCTGGTCGTTTAGAGCTGTTTCGCCAAAATTCAGCTAATGATGAGTTCTGCAGCAGCGACGAAGAGCCGTTGAGTGAAGTGCGAAAACGTATAAAAATAAATAAATCTAAACGCGATGACTTGGCCTGGGAGAAATGCAATCCTAAATATTCCATTTGGTCTGAGCCGCCACTGTTATATGCAAAGAATTCCAATAGAAAAGAATTTAAATCCAGTACAACTATTTGAAGTTTTCTTTGATGACAAGGTTTTGCAACATATTGTCGATCAATCCATATTATGCAACCCAAAATAATCGACACAATTTCATTACCACCAAAGAAGAGATGAAAACCTTTTTTGGAATACAATTTTTTTCCGGATATCATAGGTTACCTCAAGAGCGGATGTACTGGTCCACGGACTGCAATTGTTTCTGCATCAATGTCAAGGAACAGGTACTTAGAAATAAAACAAAACATTCACTTTGCTGACAATACAAGGATTGACCAGACCGATAGAATGTATAAACTTCATCCACTTATCAATATGATGAATGACAATTTCAAAAAACGGGACATTTTCCATTCTTTTTTATCCATCGACGAAGCCATCGTAAAATATTTTGGTCACCATCCCGCCAAACACTTCATTCGCGGCAAGCCAGTGCGTTTTGGCTACAAAAACTGGTCACTCTGTAGTTCCTCAGGTTACTGTTACCATTTTGAAACATACTGCGGTAAGACTTCTTTGAAGAAAGGAGCAGACTCATTGGGATCAAATGTTGTTATTGGAAAATGTGTCGAGCCCAACAGAACATTGTGTATATTTCGATAATTATTTTACAACAATTCAACTCATGAAGGTTCTGCGAGAGAACGGATTTCGAGCTACAGCTTCCATAAGGGACAACAGATTGAAAAAGTGCACTGTAGACTCGGCGAGAACTATGGCCAAATATGATCGAGGTACTTATGATTTTAGGTTTGAAAAACATAATGAACCAACTACGATAAAATAGAGCCCCTCCATCAAGCTCGTAGGTGATCAAAAGCAAAAAAGGAACCAGTTCAAATTCAGCAACCGAACTTATACAGAAAATACAACAGCCATATGGGAGGAGTTGACCTTAGTGACCAGTCCGTAAATACGTACAGAGTTGGAATTCGCGGAAAGAAATGGTGGTGGGTTTTGTTCACATATATGTTGGACTTAGCTATGACCAATGCATGGAAATTATCTCTCATACAGTCCGAAGAAATCGAAAATATTAAACTAACGCAACTTCAATTTACAAGATATGTTGTTCGGCACTACCTACCAAAAGACAAGGAAAACCGTGGACGGAGGCCTGCATCACTTCCAGACAGTATTGCGCAAGATAAATTCGGACATTTTCCTGTGAAGCTTGAGAAGCAATTACGATGTGCAGTATGCCATTCAAGGGTTCGTTGGAGTTGCGAGAAGTGTGAAATAACACTATGTATTGAACGTGCCTGCTTCAAGTTATATCATGCAAGATCAACGGTTTTGCCCATTGTACTCAAATGAGTACAGATATTTTTTTGGAAAAAATAATGAAATATAAATGGTTTTATGATCTTAAGTTTTTATTTTAGTCCTAGTAAATTAAATTATATGCATGATATCCGTTTTCCATGTTCAAACTTAATTTGGGCGTTAGTGGGTTAATAAAAAAATAAAATAAATCTAGTGATTTTTGTCTGAATCAAACTTTATACCAAAAAAAAGCTTATAAAAAATTCAATCCAAACTTGCACAAATATACATGCATTTTAAATTTTCGAGAAAAAGTACAATTCAGGTTTTTGTCCACCATGTATGAGCAAATATGTAAATTTGAAAAAGTAACGAATAAGATAAAAGCTGAGGTGTGCAAGTTTTTTTTTGAGAGAAAATTCAGCACTCCAAATTTCAAAATGGCGGATTGAGAGGTTGCCGACGTGGACGGTTTTTTTTGACAAAACACCTTACATCTCAGTAGCTAATTGCCAAACCCCATAGTACATTATCTCAATCCTCTTCTTTTGAGTTGGTTCGTCGAAATATGCAATAAAATTTGAGGCATTCCTTTTAAAAACTCACAGCTTTGACATGTAGGTCAAAATTGGGACACCCTGTCTAATTGACAATATTTTAGAAATTAATGTGCTCTCGAATGTCATGTACAACATGACATAAATAGATTTTCCCAAAATGTATTTGTTTATGAGTAATGTTCAGATAATTGTTCCTTACTTGGAACCTTATCCGCGATATTCAAACAGTATAGTTCCTTTCAAACAATATGCTCAAGACGTAACTCTTTACGTTTTTGAACGCGTTTCAAAACGGTCGAACCTTGATTTAGAAATCGCAAATCGATTCCACTTATTCCTACTACGGCATGGTTCGCTGGTAATGACTTGCTTGAAACCAACCCAACTCTAGTCCCTTAAATACGCTGTTCGAAAAGAAATCCATATGCAAAAGCAAACGTTCGCAGCTACCTAAGTAAATGCGTTTTTCCAAGAAAAAGAACAGATGATAGCCCCTCGTAAAATAAACAAGGGTAGTTTTTTCAGGCTCTGACGCTGCAAATTACAGACATATATCACAGAAACGAACTCTTTTGGTCTACCTCTTCCGCTCGCACCTTTTAGATGTTTCGAAGTTTCATTAAATCCAGCACACCTTTGGTATGAAGTGGTGGATGGAACAGGATAGAATTCATTAGTGTCTTAATGGAATTTTTCTTAACTGAGAAAATCGGATATGTGTCTCAATAAATTCATGGGAATAAAAATATTCAAAATTTCCAATTTTAGGTCTATGGTTCCAAAATTACAGTAAATTATGATAAGAATCAGGAAATCACAGATGTAGAAGTAAAAGCTTACTAACGATCCAACTTTCTTCAAAGCGTGTGCCTAACTAATGAACTATTACTGGTACATATGTGGTTTCATTTGGCGGTCAGTGAAACCCGTAGTTTGATCAGCGAAACTATCACAAGCTAAGTTTCAAATGTTACATTAAAAATCACCGACTGTATACTGAGTATATTGTCATCAGCCATTCAAGTATTTTTCTTCGCCCTATCCATTTATCTGGAAACTCGTCGTCTAGCCATTGCCGAGTCGGAAGAATATAGTGAGGAGAAGCGCCATCTTGCTAAAAATATATTTTAGCCTCATCAAGTATAGGGTTTCTCTCCCCTTCGATTTGGCTTCCAACGGTTTCAGTGATAAGGAGATTGACGGTATTTTCCAAGATGTCCGAATAAATCTCTCCAGACAAATTTCTATTTATTAACAATGGCCCAATGACTATGTTTCATAAAATGCCTGCCCATGCATCTTTTTTTTGGGTACTGGGTTATGCCCTTCTACAAAAGCATGAGGATTTTCATTGCTCCAAGCTCGCGGAGGTACCACCCGGCGGATCTCGTAGGCGGGGCCAGAATGTGTGCATGTTGCATGCACATGCGTTCCCTCGCCAGAGTATTCATCACTGAGGTAGATATTCCTTACATGAATGGTATTATAATTAATCGCTGCAGTCATTAGTGTGTAAAGTATCTTGCAAGTAAAACCTGAATCAATAAATTAACTTTCACCCTGATTTTCACTATTCCAAGATTGTCACAAAGCTAACTTACAGCAAAATAAATTATTTCTTTTCCTTAGCGACAAATAACTAAACAGGTATAACAATAAATACAGTACGTCCAAGATATCTGTGTTGATGGAAAGAATGAGGGAAAATCGGGTTGTTATTTGGTTGTTGCCAGGTCTAATCTTCCGAATTGCTGTTTATGTTGGTAGTTTCCGTTTTAAATGATAAACGAGTTGTAGATTTGGCAAATCCTAACCGGCAACATGTTGAACATTTATTGAAAGCCACAACCATACTTGACCAACGTGTCAAATACGCCATGGACCATTCAGCTTCCAATGATAAATACCTGGTTAACGAAACTAGATAAAAACAAAGTACCAAATGATGTAGTCAAACAACATTTCCACGAGATTCTCGGACAATGTCCTGACCGCAATCAAATATACACAGATGCCTCAAAACAAGGATCAAACTGTGGAGCAGCCATTGTCACACCAACCAGTGACAGTACCCTGAAGGTTTCAGATGCTGCTAAAATTTTAACAGGAAAACTGTAAGCAAACCTAGGAGCCCTGAAACACATCAAAAGTAATCCTGCCCAGAAATGGATAATAGTAACAGGTTCGCTCAGCTCACTATCTGCTATCAAAAAATTATATACCAAAAATCCTTTAGCCATAATAATACAAGAAACCATATCCAATCTTATCAGCAATAATCAACGTATAACATTTATATGGGCTCCATCACACATAGGCATAGCAAGAAACGAGACAGCAGATACAAGTGCAAAGGCAACAGCAATAAGTAATCTGCAAATACCAGCATTAGACCTAAAACAATATATAAAACAAGACATGACTGACCAATGGAATAGTGTCTGGGAAAAAAGCCTTCTAAGCTGCGTGAGCTGAAATCAAAATTCGGAGAATGGCAGACAGTCGCAGAAGACAGAAGCATACAAACAGCCGTAACACGACTTCGCTTAGGCCACACCAGGATAGCCCATCGTTACCTCATCACCCAGCAACCTGAACCAGTGTGTACTTTGTGTAAAACCAGGTTAACAGTGAAACATATACTAGTGGAGCGCCAAGTCTACGAGCATCAAAGGCAGCAATCTAACTTAAGTGGGATAATTCTAGAACCTGGAACAAACTGTAACATCCAAAATTAATTGATTTCTTACATAACTGTAATATGCTTCATCAACTGTAATATGAGACCAATACCGCTGCTAATAGCCAGTTGGCTGATGCAGCTTAATATAAAAAAACATTTATTGAAATAAAAAGTGGCATTTTCGTGTGTTTTTGTTTTCTATCTGAACAAATTAAGACAAATAAAGGTTTTCTAATTTCCTTGAAACCGAATCGAAAGATTTTAAAAAATCAAACGTCAAAATAAAGGACTTCGAAAGACTTTTCAAACAAGCTTTTACTCGATACCCCTTGTAGTTCAAAATATTTAAGACAACGACCCTGGGGGGCCTAGGGTAAAAGGAGGTTAAGTAGTATTTGGTTAAAAAGTTTTACCCCTTGACAAATGTTTTGACGTGTCTCGGAGTTTTTATCTATTATTAGAGGTATATGCTTCAATCAAATTAGCTTCCGAAAAATTTTTGCTCATTCTTCCATCAACCATATTGGTTCAATACCTGACAGAATACTAAATTCCACAATAATTTGTTGTTTCTTTAAGTTTGTTATATACACCACTTAGTCTAATCATATTAGCAAATTTCGCCGAAATAATTGTAAAGTCTGGTTTTATTGGTGAAAGTACTTCAAAGGGGTATTCAAAACATGGACACCAATGTTTGTGGGAAACCTTTTTTTTTTTGACAACAAAGAATGAGAGAACGCGTTTTTTGGGATTTAATCGAAAGTGTTAATAGGAACGAAAAAACTTTTCAAATAAGAATTTTAGGAATTTATGAGTCCTACAAATGAGATCACCCGTAAAAAGATCCGACTAATAGCAAAAATGTTATTTAGTTTAGTTTATTAAGCAATATACAAGGTTCGTTCAAGAAGCATTTTTTGCAGAAAAACACGCGTTCAATTTGCTAATATTAATCACAACCCATTCCGAAAGATAAATGTTATTTTTATGCGAAAATCAAAGGTTACAAAGGTTCTAAACAAATTCAAACATTTCGTACTTGTGAGCAATTCAACAAATGCGCTATGATACTCGAAAATTATACACATTCTAAAATAAAGTGGATGTGTCTATCATCTTTTGTCGCGAATTACTCTCAAATACGAAATGTTTGAATTTGTTTAGAAGCAAAAACGTCACCCATACTTTTTGCATAAAAATAACATGTATCTTCCGGAATGGT